CCCGTTGCATTTCTAGGTGTCTTGTGGCAAGTGTGGCAACGGGCTGGGCCACGAGTTCCTCAACGATGGGCCCAGGAGGGGGCAGTCCCGCTTCTGAATATTCAGCAGCTCGCTGAAGTTTGTCCCGAAAGGTAAAGGCTGCAGCTTGGCAGCTGCTCTCAGCCCGTGCAGTGATTTTTGGGGCAGCTGCTGATAGCCCGGGCTGGGTGCTCTGCCCTCAGCAGGGAGGTGCTGGCCCTTCAGATAAGCCGAGGAGCTGCTCACGTCCTCAGCACATCTCACACGTGTCAGCCTGCTCAGCTTGGCAGGGACTCCCAGACCTTCCACAGTGAACCAGCAGTGTGCCCAGGTGGCCGAGAAGGCCACCAGCATCCTGGCTTGTGTCAGCACTAGTGTGGCCAGCAGGGACCGTCCCCCAGTGCTGGGCACTGGGGAGGGGGCACCTTAAATCCTGCAGTCAGTTCTGGGCTCTTCACTGCCAGAAGGACATTGAGGGGCTGGAGCACATCCAGAGAAGCTGGGGAAGGGTCTGGAGCAGAAGTCTCCCAAGGAGCAGCTGAGGGAACTTGGGGTGTTCAGCCTGGAGCAAAGGAGGCTGAGGGAACAACTCGGTCTCTGCAACTGCCTGAGAGGAGTTTGAAGCAAGAGGAGGTTGGTCTCTTCTCCCAGGGGGTCAGTGGGGAAAGGCAGGGGCTTCTTGTGCCATTTGCTTCCCCCAGGTCAGAACAAGGCTTCAGGAGGCCAAGGTCAGGGCAGCACCCTGGCCATGTCTTCTTGTCCTGCTTGGCAGGCTGCAGTGGTTGTGAGGTGGTGGTGGTGGTAGCAAAATAAATACAAATAATAATAAAAAAATAATAAAAGGGGCTGGTGGTTCTGGAACCAGAAACATGAGCTCTGCTTTTGCCTCCCCCTCTTTTAGGCAAAGAAGAGAAGGACCTGAAGGAGAAGTAAGCGAGCTGCTCCCCTCAACACGCTGCTGATGGGCTGATCCTGCCTTCACACCTTGGAGTGTCTGGTCATGGGGGCACCAGGAGCCAGAGAAACCCCCAAGAGGCTCCTGATTTCCCCAGCCAGTTCCCTCTTGGAGCTGCTCCAGTGCAGGGTGCCAGGAGGAGCCGGGGGGAGGGAAGGGGACTGGGGTGGCTGCAGCTCTGTGGGTTGTGACCCTGTGTGTGTTTCACAGGGGTGGTGCAAAGGCTGCAGCTCCTCCTCTTACCCACCCTCACCCGTCCCCAGCCATCCTGGCACCCTCCCCTCTGCCAGCAGCAGCTCCTGCAGGGTCCCTGGGGCTCCAGCCCAGCCTCCTGCCTTGCTCAGCTGCTGGGGGGTTTGGCTGTGGAACCAGCTGAGCCGGGACACTGTCCAGATCGCAGCCGGGAGGGGCGGATTCTGCCGTGGCACTGATGCAATCCAGAGTGGATCTGCTGGCATTTCCAAGGAGTAAGGCTGGATTAGCTGAGGTCAGAGCCTGGGTTAATCTCTGGTGCTATTCTGGGTGGGGATCATGGTATGAATTGCCCTATATAAACCCTTCCAGGATGCTAGGGCAAAGATGTTTTTATGATCCCGCTGGAGAGCATCCAGGTGTTTTACCCCTCTGCCCATTTTGCACACAGTAGAGACAGTTCTAGGTTTCCCATGTCCTCTGGGCTCGATTCTGACTTGGCCTTACACCACATTTACCACTGTGCTGTTGACTCCAGAGGCACTGGTGGCTCCTCCTTGCTGGGGCAGGGGAGGCCAACGTCGGGCTCAGGGGCTGCACTTGGCACAACTCAGGCTTTAGGAATCACATTTTCATTCCCTCTGCACTCAAGGGCTGGGACACTGATTTCTCCTCAATGCAGCACCTGATTAGTGGCCTTTCCCTCCTTGTCCTCCAAACCAAATCCTCTTTGAAATCAATTTATTTTCCATCAATCCCACCATTAGGAGAGCACTGATGAAAAGAGCAACGTGCCAGCTTGTTACCTGGTGCTCACTGCTGGTCCTGGACCTCTTCCAATACTGCAAATAAAGCACTGATTCACTGTGTTGGAGAAATCACCTCTGTTTTTAAAAGCACTGTTGGTGGCACCCCAGTGCATCTGCCCTGGGGTTCCTTCTCTGCTGGGTCTGCCCAGTGCTGGGTGCAGGGGTGGGGAGGCTGCCTGGGGTGGGATGTGTGCAAGGTGGGCACAAATGTGGGTGCAAACACAGACACAAAGCCCTGGCCAGAAGCTGAGAGCAGCTTTCACCTGGAGTCCCTGCCTCCAGCTGCAGACCTGATGACCTGAGGTGTGGACACCCCCTGTCTCAGATCCAGTGTGGTCAATGTGTGTGATTTTTATCCTGGTTTTGTTACCATTACCCCAGGCTTTGCTGTGTGAAAGGGGGATGCTGATGCACTGGAGGCCTTTGGCCATTCCCAGGGTCAAAGCTTTCCTTTGGGATGGTTGTGAACTGGACTGAAAGGAATTTTTTCCCAACTTAAGCTAATTTTAGCTTGTACCATAGCATGTTCTTGGTACTTTCTGGGCTGTCAGGATTTTCTGGGCAGAGGGGGGGGTGAGTTTCAGCAGTGTCTCACAATAGTTCCCCTGTACAGAGTCTGCAAGTTTGGTACCTACAGCCCTTCCCTGTCTCCCAGAGGTCTCCTCAACCCTTAGCATTGGATACTGGGATCATGGAGGCTGGAGACTTGAGCTGGGCTTTGCCCAACTCCAGTTTCCTTCTGCGAGGGGTTAAAGTCTGCTTGGAGCCAGGAGCCAGGTCCCCTCCTGCCCTGCCTCTGGCTCCTGCCCCTCTGTCCCCGGGAACGGGACAACCTCTGCCTCTAATTATTAATCAGGTCCCAGCCTGACGGTTCAAGCTCCTTTTCAACCCGTTAATCCCCAGATCGGCTGCTTTGCCCCTGGTTTGGCTGCACAAACTGCCCCTTTGCTCCCCAGCAGGGAGCACCCACCTCTGGGGCACCTCCCACCGCGTTGCCCCTAGGAATGAGGGTGGGTTTTTTTTTTTTTTTTTTTTGGGGGGGGAAGTTCTACAGAGATGCTGCAGTGGAAGGAAACCTCCCGGGAATGCTGGGGCGATGATCTCTGCCGCTCGTGGGGAGCCACGGGCTCCCACGCTGTTCCCTGCAGTTCACGGATGCGGGCACGGGAGGGTGCAAGTGCTTTTCCTAACCCTTCCCCAGGCCCTGCAGGGAGGGGAAGGATGGGCTCTGGGGTGGACAAGGTGGTGCCTCCCCTTTTTATGCCTCTTTAATAAGGAAAATCACCTGGAGCAAAAAAAAACCCACAACAACCCAAAATAATAAAATAATCTGGATAGTTTAAATAGGGATGGGAAGTTTTCCCTGGAAATCTGCCCAGAAGCAGCAATTCCAGGGGGGTTTGGCCAGGGGTGTTGGCAATGCCTGGTGCTGAGGGTGCAGGATGTGACCCCTTATCCCACTAACGACAGTTCTGCCCCAAGAAGAGGATTTTGCTCGGTCGGGCAGGAGCGGCCCCAGATCAGCCGGGTGGGTTTCATGCCAGAAATCAAATTACATCGCCAGGCCCAGGCAAACTTCCTTGGCTATTTAAAAAACCATTCATTTCCTCGGCCGTAGCCTCCAGCTGACCTCTCCTCTCGTGTCTTCTCCTTTTGATTTGCCTGCCACCGGGAGGAGCTGCCTCTTTGACCCTCCTGGGCTGGCGGCAGAGCAGCCAGACCCGGCGAGATGTTGATTCGTTCTCCTCATAAAGACAAGCCCCACAGAAACGACTTCAGGCAGGGAAAAAGAAGGCACTGGGAAGCTCTAATTACTGGTATTCCCTGGAGCCTGTGGGAGGAGGGAGCACCCGGCTGCTCCTACCTGGAATTCCCATGTGTATCTCAGGTGGGCTGCCCGGCCTCGCAGGGATGGATCCTTCTTTTTCTGTTTGTGTTGTTTTGTTTCATTTTATCCCTTGATCAACAGGTTTTCCCCCTCCAGCTGAGCCTGTGGGCTCCCCTGCTGGCAGCTCCACGGGCAGGGTGGGATGCTGAGGGCAGGAGGGGCTGTAAATATGCACCAAGACCCCCAGAAAAACAACTGATGGGGTTTTTCACATTGGGGTACCCCTTGGGGAGGGGGCAGGGCCTGGCACAGGTGAGCTGGTGCTTGTGGCTTCAGAAACCCCTCTGATTCTTGCCAGGGTCCCATCCCAGTGACAGGGTCTGGAGCATCACTGTGCTCAAAAGGAATCATAGGAATTGCTTGGGGGAGGGCTGTGAAAATGCAGGAAGGGCCAGGGCTGATTTTGTGTTGATTACAGAAAATAAATGGATGGTAATCTAAAAAATAATGCAACCCCCCCCCCCCCCAGCTTCCCCAGGCAAGGAGGTCCCTCCCCATGGCCCAGCTCACCTGCTCCACCCTGGGAGCTCACCTGTCCCTCAGCACATCCAGCAAGAGCTGGAGAACATGAAATGATTCCACTTCACTCACCCATAATGACTTCATCTCTCTCTATTCTGAGTGGGAATATTCCCCTATTCCCACCCCGAGGGGCTGCTTCCCTGGCAGGGGGCAACTGCTGACCTGATTTCTGAGCTTTATTTCATTGAGCTGAACCTCCCAGAGCCACAAGGTGGGGAAATTAGTTTCCAGTTCGTGGTGTGTGTAAATTAGGGAGATAATGACTGGAGACACTCAGAGCGAGTCTGAACGTGCAGGAAAAATGCTTTGCCCAGGGAAAATTCAAATCCTTCCTTTTTTTGTGTGTGTGTGTCTTCCTGGCTGTTGAGATCCAACCCTTTAATGCAATTAGTGAGGGCTTAATTGTTAATCAGTCCCACTCAGACGTTTGCTTTGGGGTCTTATCTCACGCTCCCAAGTGCACATTCACTTCCAACCATGATCTTCACTTTTGATGTAGGAGATTCCCAGCCTGGGCTGGCTGTGGGTGCATCCCATGGGTGCATCCCATGGGTACATCCCATGGGTACATCCCATGGGTGCCACACGCTCCTGAGCTCAAGAGGGACTGTGGCAGGGGCTGATGCCAGTGCTGCCCTTCCCGTGCCCAAAGAGCTGTGTCCACTGTGGGCTCCATCCTCAGCCCAAGTGTATCCCGACTTTTCAGGGGTGTCTTTCCCTTCCTGGGTATCCCAGAGTCTGCCCAGGGTGGGAAAATCACCCACCCTCCCATGCCATGGGTGCAGCCAGAGCCTGTGCCAGCCCCCCAAATGGGGGTGCCCACAACGCTGCTGCCCTGCCTGTGCCCCAGAGTGGAGCTGGATGATCCAGCCCCAAATCACACCTTCCCTGTGAGCCTGGGGAAAGGGCCCACCAGGAAAAGCTGCTCTGGAACGTTCCAGCATCGATCCAGCACCGGGGCTGCTCCCGTGGCCACCTTGGTGGGCCACAACCCAAACCCCACCATTTCTGGGCCCTGCCCAGCCAGGGCTCTCCCCTCTGCCATCCTCGTGGCTCATGCTTTTTAAGCAATACACTTTCCTGTCTACAATAATGATTTGTTGCTTGTAAAACCACCGTGATTAACTACAGTTTAGCCTCCTGGTTTCATGTCTTATCACGTTTCATCTCACACAAAAGACATTTACAGTCTATTTTCAACTTCAAAGCAAATGCTTCTCGTGTGAGCATTAGGGAAGGCAAATATTTAAGCAGAACCTGTATGGTATTAGTGTCTCTTGATGTTCCCTGCTGAGTGAGGATTGATGGCTGCCTCACAAGGCAGGTTTTTCCTATTGTTTTATGCACCAGTGATTAATATTTCATGTTCCCACTGTTATATATTTGCTGGTTGGCACTGGCCTACCCTGACAGTGCTTTCTTCATGTCTTACATGTCCTGTCTTTATGCACTTCAATAGAGGACGTGTGACTCTTGGCAGGGTCCTTTGGGTTTATTGAAGCCTCCTGCCTGAGCTTTTTGAATCGAGCCCATCTTGATGGCATTAGGGGGGATAGCATGTTCTCCT